CTCTGTCCATCTTCTCAGATACTCTGTCCCTGTGCAGGCTATTATTGTTGCTTTCCCTCTATCTTGCTTGACTCAGCACTGCCTTGTACCTAGGGTTCCCACTGGAGGGATCAGCTTGCCCTCTCCCTACTTCTCTGCCTTTTCCTCTTCATCTTTCTTGATCTGTGTCAGCCTGTCATTTTTTGTCTCCTTTTTATTTTCCCTCTTTGTCTCTCTCTGCTTTGACTGCGTGCTGTCTGTCGGTCCCAACAGCAGGCACCCAAGGTCCCACACTAATAGCGTGTCTTTCTGTTGAGTGCTGTTCATATTCACTGTTGTAAGAAAAAAACCCACCTTAGTGGGGAAGAGTCTGTCATGAACTGAAAAGAAAAGGCATGGTTTAAAGGCAGGATTCAAACAGGGGACATGACTCATTGATAGAGAGAGGTAGGGAAAAGGAGTCGGGAGTGGGGAAGTTCCAGAAAGATGTGAAAGCAGAAGTGGCACCTCCAACTGAGGAGAGTCTTGGCCAGCCGGGGATTGGTAGAAAGGAGGTGGAAGTTTGGGGAGAAGAAAGGGGGGAGGAAGGAAGTAGGGAAGAGTAAAGGATAATGATGACTTGAGGTGGGGATGAGCGAATAGGGAGTTGGAACCATTCTAATTACGGAGCCATCAAATAGTTCAAATATTTGAGCCCTTTTGTGCCCCTGTATCTAGAACTAATACCCAGCCACAAACCTTAAATATTCTTAACCTTCCTTCTTTTTTAAGAATATGACTTCCTTGATCTCTTGCTTTCCTGGTAATAGCTAGAAGCATAGATGCTGAGGTACAATACTTCCAGCTTGCCTGCAACTAGAAATTATTGGATGTCTTGAGATAGAGCTCTTCGTCTCACGGGACTCCCGCTCCTAAGAACTTCCTACATTACAGAGGAATAAACCACACAAAGATGTACTCAGTCCTGATGTAAGCCAGCTGAACTGAGAGGAGTTACAATGGTGATGAATTTGCCTTTAATGTGCAAAGTGCAGAGAACAGCTGAAAAGAAAACACATTGTAAAATATTAAGCTCCCCATTTAAATAGGAAGCTCATAACAAACAGCAGCTATTCAGTTTTGTAGCTTGCAAGAGGAAGGAGAGGTCGATATTTCAGGGTGGAGAAGTATTTTCTTTCCTTCTTTTTTTTCCTCCTTCTTAAATCTGATATTTAGATTATGAAGTCTCTGTAAAGATTTGGAAGCGTTGTCCCACATGCCTGCCTTCCTTCTGTTGTCCACCTTTATGATCTGTAGATATGCTGAAACACTGGTGATACTCATTTTGCTAATCTGCACCCCGCATAATTCATATGCTCACACAAAGAAAATGAAGGTCCTCCCATTCGCTTGTACCCCATGCTCCACTCCTCAGAAATTTTACACCTGAGAGCAGTAGCAAACCCTCATAAGGATATCTCTTCATTATTTTAACAAAATGTGCTACAGATAATTTACCAGTCTGCCAGGAAGCATTGTTATCAATAATTAAAGCCACACTATAGTTGAACAAAGTACACTGTGTGATGCATTATCCTTTTCAATATCATTGTCTTTGTTCACTTCTTCACTAATTTGCAATGTGAATTTGCTTTCAATAGGTCTCCTGGCCATTTGTGTGATTCAGCAAGGCTCTACTCTGTTATTTGTGTATTCCCCTATGTGTGAATCAGCAAGGTTCTGCTTTGTGTGTAGATATATAAAAAATGGTGCACACATACATATTGACTAGCTCCAAGAGCAACTACAGTAAAATGTTGCCATTACGAAATTGTCTGATGACCTATGTGAAAGGTTGAGTACAATATTTCATAATTGAGAATATTTTTACCTCATGGCAAATATTTTGCTTGCTGATTGCTGTTCATTTTATTAGCTTAATGAGATATTCCTCTCTCAGGGGAGTTTGCCCTCCCTGCTTATCTGCTGTGAGCCTCTATAAGGAGAGCCACAGTAGTCTTCATGAGGAAGCAACTGGGCTTTTGAACCATCTTGGGAGGTGGGCCTGTATTTTGTGGAGGGGTACAAGATGAAGAGCCAGTTATACCTGGTAGGAATAATCCTGGGAGAGGTGTCTCTGTGGTCTTTCATCCCAGACCTACAACATTTTGTTCCCCTCTCTTTCTTCTGGATCCTGGTTGCTTTTTATAACGTGTCTTACTGTTTCTTCTCCCATGCATGGTTGACCTTCCAATGTAGGTTATTTCCTTCCAGTGAGAGCAATAATGTATTTCTGCTTCTGGCTCTCTCGTAGAACCTATGGGATCTATGAAATCCTACAGATAAATAAGTCCATATATATTTTTAAAAACCTCATAACAATGGCTAATTTTTGTTTACCCGTCTATGCTATGTGAAGTAGTTAACACTGTTACTAAGGTTGCTTGACACTTTATGGTATAAGAACCCCTTTTTATTTGCTTGTAATTTAGCCAAATTATAATTGTTCAGGCTGAATATTCCGTGTTTGGCTCCTGTTTCAGATTAAATTTTTTGGAAAAAATTTCTGCCTAACTGCTTGAGCCATTTTCAGAATAAGGCTGGGGGGAAATGCTCTGTTAGGCCCATGTTAAAAAAAATAATTGAGGCTTTTGTTTGACAAACACTGTTGTCCTTGTCGCTTGAATCGGGGACTTGAAATTTAGCACAGGGTGGTTTCAGGCAGGGGTATGTCTTACGCTGTTCCCACGGAAAGCCAACCACATTCAGCTATGATGAAAAATCAAAGTTTTCACGTGCCCAGTAGAGATTCATAGATTGTAGCAGATAGATTTCTGGCATATTCCATTTATGTTGGACTTGGTCCAGACTGGGGCTGAGCAGTACTTTTCCTGTAATTGCATTTATGGGCTGCTGTAGTTCATGCTGGGACAGGTTTCTGGGTCTTAGAGCAAGGATTCCATCTCTCCTGTGCTCCTGGACTCTCCTGCCTGCCACCTAATTATCCAATTATAGCAGGCTCAATAGGTGGACTTGCAGGTGGTATATTTTGGAACAAGAAATGTAGCAGGTAAGGGAAGACTGGAATCTGAGCCTGGCATGAAGAAGGAGAAAAATGGGATAGAGGATTGTGAATTGGAATAAGGCAAGACTAGAAGCCAGAGGTGGGATGTGGAATTGGCTGTTGTGGAGCCTGGGAATAGGAAGTGGGGAACTGTCGGGTGGAACTGGGAGCTAGTTAGGGTACTGGTATGTAGGTTTGGGGAGACTTGAGATCGGACAGGAAGCCTGGGTAAACAGACTGGGACAATATGTTAGGTAAAATACTGAGATTGGATGAGAGTGGAATACTGGGACTGGGAGCCAGTAGGGTTGGAGAACATGGTGGGAGGGTAGCGACAGTGGACAAAGGTGGGGGAGATGAACAGACTGAATGAAAGTCCCATAGAAAGGGAATTATGCTGGGTCAGATAAATGGAAGTGGGAGTAGTGAGTGGGAGGAAGACTGCAGTAGAAGGTGCAAGACTAGAATGTGTTGAGTAAGAAGAATAGGACTGGGATATGAAGCCCAAGATGTAGCAACTGAGACAATGAAGATGAGAAGAATGGGGCTAGAATGAAGGGCGAAGAATGAAGAGGGGACAAGATTAGAACATAGGTTGGAGGGAATGGTCAAGAAGAGGTTGTTAGGGTTGGGTTACAGAGATGAATCTGTGCTCACTAGACCATGCTCCTTTCCAGAGCCTGGAATGAAATCCATGATCCATGAATTTCACCACTGTTTTCCTTTAAGCAAGTAATTCTGAAGCTCTCTGGCAACACGTGTGTCACCCCCTCTCATCCATGGAGGATGATAACCTACAGTTGCTACTGGTCACTCCATGTCTAAGTACAGACAGTCAAAAATCCCAAGGCTGTATCAATTCAATCTTTGCAGGTTAGTCTAAGATGCATAGATTGAATTGATAAGCAAGTGAACAGACATTCTCTTTTGATTCTGGAAATGCACCGATGTGCCTCCAGGGGCTTGGGCTAGAAGGCTGGGGCGCTAAAGTATGCTTCCCTGCTCTGCTGGAGAAACGGGATGGGCCCAAGTCTAGCCGGCCCACCCTGTAGGAAAGGTTTGCAGGGAAGGTGCAAAGCATCCTGAGATGCTGGGGGATTGTGAGTTGACTTGAATCTGGAGGAGATCTGGGACAGAAGTTCAATAAACTGATTTAAACAAAATCAGTCTGATACGACATCCATCCAGGTTTATCTTAAATTGTTTTTGGGTATTTTGAAAGCAGTTTATGTGCACTGAACTTCTGTTGTGTTACGTATTTGAACTGGTTTCCGATCACTTATGCCAGTTTGTGTAACTTCTGTTTCTAGCCCGTAAGATGAAATGGTAGAGATCTGTACAATAGATAATGCCACATC